GCCACGGGACACACAGCCAACGGGGGCGCAGAGTGGGGGCCACAGGGACACGCAGCCAACGGGGGTGCAGAGTGGGTGCCACGGGGACCCGCAGCCAACGGGGGCGCAGAGTGGGTGCCACGGGACACACAGCCAACGGGGGCGCAGAGTGGGGGCCACAGGGACACGCAGCCAACGGGGGTGCAGAGTGGGTGCCACGGGGACCCGCAGCCAACGGGGGCGCAGAGTGGGTGCCACGGGACACACAGCCAACGGGGGCGCAGAGTGGGGGCCACAGGGACACGCAGCCAACGGGGGTGCAGAGTGGGTGCCACGGGGACCCGCAGCCAACGGGGGCGCAGAGTGGGTGCCACGGGACACACAGCCAACGGGGGCGCAGAGTGGGGGCCACAGGGACACGCAGCCAACGGGGGTGCAGAGTGGGTGCCACGGGGACCCGCAGCCAACGGGGGCGCAGAGTGGGTGCCACGGGACACACAGCCAACGGGGGCGCAGAGTGGGGGCCACAGGGACACGCAGCCAACGGGGGTGCAGAGTGGGTGCCACGGGGACCCGCAGCCAACGGGGGCGCAGAGTGGGTGCCACGGGACACACAGCCAACGGGGGCGCAGAGTGGGGGCCACAGGGACACGCAGCCAACGGGGGTGCAGAGTGGGTGCCACGGGGACCCGCAGCCAACGGGGGCGCAGAGTGGGTGCCACGGGACACACAGCCAACGGGGGCGCAGAGTGGGGGCCACAGGGACACGCAGCCAACGGGGGTGCAGAGTGGGTGCCACGGGGACCCGCAGCCAACGGGGGCGCAGAGTGGGTGCCACGGGACACACAGCCAACGGGGGTGCAGAATGGGTGCCACAGGGACACGGGGCCACACAGCCACTACCCCGTGGACGCTGCTACCAGCCGGGACTCACAACCCCAACACCTCTGCTTTGGAGGCTGCACTGCTTCTCCCTGTGCCTCAGTGTCCACCGGCGTGATCCCCGGGTACACAAGAATCTGGGGTGTCTCCACCAAGGACGGGGTGGTGGCGGGCTGGTTACCAAAGGCGGCTGAGGGCATCACATGTGTGTGGAGGACAAAGGCCAGGAGCGTGTCCCTCCCTCCGCGGCACATACCAGCACGTGCCGGGAGGGTGAGAGAGTTCGCCGTGGGAGAAAGCTGTCAGAAATGAAACCAGAGGAAAGAGGAGGCGGCAGATCGGCTTTCCGAGCTCACCGGCCGTGGAAGGCCACGGCGAGCTCCGTAAATCTCTCTGCTTAAAACGGTCCAGTTGCCGTACATCAAACAGTGTTCGTCGCTGCTAGACGAGGTGGGGTCACGGGGGCACATTCATCCTCCGGCCGAAACACCCCACCGAGCAGCTAGCAAGACAAACCGGTGAAAACCACACAGACCATTAGGCAGTGAGCAGCGAGGTCGCCGGGAGGCGGAGAAGGGTCCGGGCGCGTCCCACAGCTGCCCGGCTCGCTTCCTGGGGAGTGTTCGGGCCTGGGTGCAGGAAGGGGGCACGGAGGGGGAGCCCCACTGCACCCCTGAGCTGACGAGAGAGCACGGAGGTGTAGGGAGACCAGACGGGAAAGCTCCGCAGACGGAGGGTCCGCGAGGAGAGGGCCGCGGGGGTCCTCAGGGCAGCAGAGCCCACCTGACCGGCCTGTGCTCAGAGGAAACTGCCCACAGCTGGGAAGGTCCAGCTGGCACCTAGGGACACACTTTAAATGTGAAGACACAGCCTGGCCGGCCGGCGGGGCTCACTGGGGGAGCGTCGACCTATGAACCAGGAGGTCAGGGTTCGATTCCCGGTCAGGGCACAGGCCCGGGTTGCGGGCTCCATCCCCAGTGTGGGGCGCGCAGGAGGCAGCCGGTCCATGATTCTCTCTCCTCATGGATGGTTCCTTCTCTCTCTCCCTCTCCTTTCCTCTCTGAAATCAATACAAATACATATATTCAAAGACTAAAAATAAATACGAAGACACACGGTCCCTTCAAAATATACGCGACGCCGACAACGGTGCTCTGAGAGGAGAGAGAAACGGGGCGCAGCTCCAGTGGGGCGGAGCCCCCCGCAATGGTTAACGGGACGTGCAGGCAGAAACCGAGCGAGGACAGAGGGGGCCTCGCGGCTGC